TGTGGTGAGTGTGGTGAGTGTGGTGAGTCTGTGGTGAGTGTGGTGAGTCTGTGGTGATTGTGGTGAGTGTGGTGAGTCTCTGTGGTGAGTCTGTGGTGAGTGTGGTGAGTCTCTGTGGTGAGTCTGTGGTGAGTCTGTGGTGAGTGTGGTGAGTCTCTGTGGTGAGTCTCTGTGGTGAGTCTGTGGTGAGTCTGTGGTGAGTGTGGTGAGTGTGGTGAGTGTCTGTGGTGAGTCTGTGGTGAGTCTGTGGTGAGTGTGGTGAGTGTGGTGAGTGTATGTGGTGAGTGTGTGTGTGTGGTGAGTGTGTGTGGTGAGTGTGGTGAGTGTGTGTGTGTGGTGAGTCTGTGGTGAGTCTGTGGTGAGTCTGTGTGTGTGTGTGGTGACTCTGTGGTGAGTCTGTGTGTGTGTGTGGTGAGTCTCTGTGGTGAGTCTGTGGTGAGTGTGGTGAGTGTGGTGAGTGTGTGTGGTGAGTGTGTGTGTGTGTGTGGTGAGTCTCTGTGGTGAGTCTGTGGTGAGTGTGGTGAGTGTGTGGTGAGTGTGTGTGGTGAGTCTGTGGTGAGTCTCTGTGTGTGTGTGGTGAGTGTGTGTGGTGAGTCTGTGGTGAGTGTGGTGAGTATGTGTGTGTGGTGAGTCTCTGTGGTGAGTCTGTGGTGAGTCTGTGGTGAGTGTGGTGAGTGTGGTGAGTCTGTGTGTGTGTGTGGTGAGTATGTGTGTGTGGTGAGTCTCTGTGGTGAGTCTGTGGTGAGTCTGTGGTGAGTGTGGTGAGTGTGTGTGGTGAGTGTGTGTGTGTGTGGTGAGTGTGTGTGTGTGTGGTGAGTGTGTGTGTGTGTGGTGAGTCTGTTTGTGTGTGTGGTGAGTCTGTGGTGAGTCTGTGTGTGTGTGTGGTGAGTCTCTGTGGTGAGTCTGTGGTGAGTCTGTGGTGAGTGTGGTGAGTCTCTGTGGTGAGTGTGTGTGTGTGGTGAGTGTGTGGTGAGTGTGGTGAGTGTGTGTGTGTGTGGTGAGTGTGTGTGTGTGTGGTGAGTCTCTGTGGTGAGTCTGTGTGTGTGTGGTGAGTCTCTGTGGTGAGTCTGTGGTGAGTGTGGTGAGTCTGTGTGTGTGTGTGGTGAGTCTGTGGTGAGTCTGTGTGTGTGTGTGGTGAGTGTGGTGAGTCTCTGTGGTGAGTCTGTGGTGAGTGTGGTGAGTGTGGTGAGTGTGGTGAGTGTGTGTGGTGAGTGTGTGTGTGTGGTGAGTCTGTGGTGAGTCTGTGGTGAGTCTGTGTGTGTGTGTGGTGACTCTGTGGTGAGTCTGTGTGTGTGTGTGGTGAGTCTCTGTGGTGAGTCTGTGGTGAGTCTGTGGTGAGTGTGGTGAGTGTGTGTGGTGAGTGTGGTGAGTGTGGTGAGTGTGTGGTGAGTCTCTGTGGTGAGTGTGGTGAGTCTGTGGTGAGTCTGTGGTGAGTCTGTGTGTGTGTGGTGAGTGTGGTGAGTGTGGTGAGTCTCTGTGGTGAGTCTGTGGTGAGTCTGTGGTGAGTGTGTGGTGAGTCTCTGTGGTGAGTCTGTGGTGAGTGTGGTGAGTCTGTGGTGAGTGTGGTAAGTGTGGTGAGTCTCTGTGTGTGTGTGGTGAGTCTCTGTGGTGAGTGTGGTGAGTCTGTAGTGAGTGTGGTGAGTCTGTGGTGAGTGTGGTGAGTGTGGTGAGTCTCCGTGTGGGTGTGGTGAGTCTGTGTGTGTGTGTGTGGTGAGTCTGTGGTGAGTGTGGTGAGTCTGTGTGTGTGTGTGTAGTGAGTCTATGGTGAGTGTGGTGAGTCTGTGTGTGTGTGGTGAGTCTGTGGTGAGTCTGTGTGTGTGTGTGGTGAGTCTCTGTGTGTGTGTGGTGAGTCCGTGGTGAGTGTGGTGAGTGTCTCTGTGAGTGTGTGTGGTGTGTGTGTGTGGTGACTGTGTGTGTGTGTGTGGTGAGTCTCTGTGTGTGTGTGGTGAGTCTCTATGGTGAGTGTGGTGAGTCTGTAGTGAGTGTGGTGAGTCTGTGGTGAGTGTGGTGAGTCTCTGTGTGTGTGTGTGGTGAGTCTGTGGTGAGTGTGGTGAGTCTGTGTGTGTGTGGTGAGTCTGTGGTGAGTCTGTGTGTGTGTGTGGTGAGCCTCTGTGTGTGTGTGGTGAGTCTGTGGTGAGTGTGGTGAGTGTCTCTGTGAGTGTGTGGTGTGTGTGTGTGGTGACTGTGTGTGTGTGTGTGTGGTGAGTCTCTGTGTGTGTGTGTGGTGAGTGTCTCTGTGTGAGTGTGTGGTGAGTGTGAGTGTGTTAGTCTGTGTGTGTGTGTGGTGACTGTGTGTGTGTGTGTGTGGTGACTGTGTGTGTGTGTGTGGTGAGTCTCTGTGTGTGTGTGTGGTGAGTGTCTCTGTGTGAGTGTGTGGTGAGTGTGAGTGTGTTAGTCTGTGTGTGTGTGTGGTGACTGTGTGTGTGTGTGTGGTGACTGTGTGTGTGTGGTGAGTCTCTGTGTGTGTGTGTGGTGAGTGTCTCTGTGTGAGTGTGTGGTGAGTGTGAGTGTGTTAGTCTGTGAGTGTGTGGTGACTGTGAGTGTGTGGTGAGTGTGAGTGTGTTAGTCTGTGTGTGTGTGTGGTGACTGTGTGTGTGTGTGTGGTGACTGTGTGTGTGTGTGTGTGGTGACTGTGTGTGTGTGTGGTGAGTCTGTGTGTGTGTGGTGAGTGTCTCTGTGTGTGTGTGTGTGGTGAGTGTGTGTGTGTGTGGTGACTGTGTGTGTGTGGTGAGTGTGAGTGTGTGAGTCTGTGTGTGTGTGGTGAGTGTCTCTGTGTGTGTGTGGTGAGTCTCTGTGAGTGTGGTGAGTGTCTCTGTGTGTGTGTGTGGTGAGTGTGTGTGTGTGGTGACTGTGTGTGTGAGTGTGTGGTGAGTGTGAGTGTGTGAGTCTGTGTGAGTATGTGGTGAGTGTGTGGTGAGTCTCTCTGTGTGTGTGTGTGTGTGGTGAGTGTCTCTGTGTGTGTGTGGTGAGTCTCTGTGTGTGTGTGGTGAGTGTCTCTGTGTGTGTGTGTGGTGAGTGTGTGTGTGTGGTGACTGTGTGTGTGAGTGTGTGGTGTGAGTGTGAGTGTGTGAGTCTGTGTGAGTATGTGGTGAGTGTGTGGTGAGTCTCTCTGTGTGTGTGTGTGGTGTGTGTGTGTGGTGAGTCTCTCTGTGTGTGTGTGGTGAGTCTCTGTGTGTGTGTGGTGAGTGTCTCTGTGTGTGTGTGGTGAGTCTCTGTGTGTGTGTGGTGAGTGTCTCTGTGTGAGTGTGTGGTGAGTGTGAGTGTGTTAGTCTGTGTGTGTGTGGTGAGTGTCTCGGTGTGAGTGTGTGGTGAGTGTGAGTGTGTTAGTCTGTGTGTGTGTGGTGACTGTGGTGAGTCTGTGTGTGGTGAGTGTGAGTGTGTGGTGAGTCTGTGTGAGTGTGTGGTGAGTCTGTGTGAGTGTGTGGTGAGTCTGTGTGAGTGTGTGGTGAGTGTGAGTGAGTGTCTCTGTGAGTGTGAGTGTGTGTGGTGAGTGTGAGTGAGTGTCTCTGTGTGTGTGGTGAGTGTCTCTGTGTGTGTGTGTGTGTGGTGAGTGTGTGTGTGGTGTGTGTGTGGTGAGTGTGAGTGTGTTAGTCTGTGTGTGTATGTGGTGAGTCTGTGTGTGTGTGTGGTGAGTCTCTGTGAGTGTGGTGAGTGTCTCTGTGTGTGTGTGTGGTGAGTGTGTGTGTGTGTGGTGACTGTGTGTGTGTGTGGTGAGTGTGTGTGTGTTAGTCTGTGTGTGGTGAGTGTCTCTGTGTGTGTGTGGTGAGTGTGTGTGTGGTGACTGTGTGGTGAGTGTGAGTGTGTGAGTCTGTGAGTGTGTGTGGTGTGTGTGTGTGGTGACTGTGTGTGTGTGTGGTGAGTGTCTCTGTGTGTGTGTGTGTGGTGAGTGTGAGTGTGTGAGTCTGTGAGTGTGTGTGGTGTGTGTGTGTGGTGAGTGTCTCTCTGTGTGTGGTGAGTGTCTGTGTGTGTGTGTGGTGAGTCTCTGTGTGTGTGTGTGTGGTGAGTGTGTAGTGAGTGTCTCTGTGTGTGTGGTGAGTGTCTGTGTGTGTGTGTGTGGTGAGTGTCTCTGTGTGTGTGTGGTGAGTGTCTCTGTGTGTGTGTGTGGTGAGTGTCTCTCTGTGTGGTGAGTGTGTGGTGAGTGTCTCTCTCTGTGTCTCTGTGTGTGTGGTGAGTGTGTGGTGAGTGTGTGGTGAGTGTGTGGTGAGTGTGTGGTGAGTGTCTCTCTCTGTGTCTGTGAGTGTGTGGTGAGTGTCTCTGTGTCTCTGTGTCTGTGAGTGTGTGGTGAGTGTCTCTGTGTGTGTGTGGTGAGTGTCTCTGTGTGGTGAGTGTGTGGTGAGTGTGTGGTGAGTGTCTCTCTCTCTGTGTGTGTGGTGAGTGTGTGGTGAGTGTCTCTGTGTGTGTGTGGTGAGTGTCTCTGAGTGTCTCTGTGTCTCTGTGTGGTGAGTGTGTGGTGACTGTGTGTGGTGAGTGTGTGGTGAGTGTGTGGTGAGTGTGTGTGTGTGGTGAGTGTGTGGTGAGTGTGGTGAGTGTGTGGTGAGTGTCTCTCTCTGAGTGTCTCTGTGTCTCTGTGTGGTGAGTGTGTGGTGAGTGTGTGTGTGGTGAGTGTGTGGTGAGTGTCTCTCTCTCTCTGTGTGTGGTGTGTGTGTGGTGAGTGTCTCTGTGTGTGTGGTGAGTGTCTCTGTGTGTGTGGTGAGTGTCTCTGTGTGTGTGGTGAGTGTCTGGTGAGTGTCTCTCTCTCTGTGTGTGTGTGTGTGGTGAGTGTCTCTCTCTCTGTGTGTGTGTGTGTGGTGAGTGTCTCTCTCTCTCTGTGTGTGGTGAGTGTGTGGTGAGTTGTGGTGAGTGTGTGGTGAGTGTCTCTGTGTGTGTGGTGAGTGTGGTGAGTGTCTCTCTCTCTGTCTCTCTCTGTGTCTCTGTGTCTCTGAGTGTCTCTGTGAGTGTGGTGAGTGTCTCTGTGTCTCTGTGTCTCTGAGTGTCTCTCTCTGAGTGTTGATCTCCTTCACCTGCCTCCCGCTCCGAGCGTCGCTGAGCCTCTTGCCGCGGCAGAACTCGGCGAGGCCGTCCCGAGCCGCCTGCCGAGCCGCCGCCGCAGCCGCCCGCGCCTGTGCCGGGCCGCGTGCCAGCGCCGCGTGGCACCGCAGCACCACCGCCTTGTGGCGACCCTCGTGCCGGTACACCCAGAGCAGCAGGCACGGGCGGGCCGGGTCCGGAGCGGAGCACCACGTCACACGGGACACCTGCGGGGAGACAACGGCAACGTCACCGTCACCAACAACGACACCAACAACGTCACCAACAACGTCACCAACAACGTTCACCAACAACGTCACCATCACCAACAACGTCACCGTCAACGTCACCGTCACCAACAACGTCACCATCACCAACAACGTCACCGTCAACGTCACCGTCACCAACAACGTCACCATCACCAACAACGTCACCGTCACCAACAACGTCACCGTCAACGTCACCGTCACCGACAACGTCACCAACAACGTTCACCAACAACGTCAACGTCACCAACAACGTCACCAACAACGTCACCAACAACGTCACCGTCACCGACAACGTCACCGACAACGTCACCAACAACGTCACCAACAACGTCACCAACAACGTCACCGTCACCGACAACGTCACCGACAACGTCACCAACAACGTCACCAACAACGTCACCGTCACCGACAACGTCACCAACAACGTCACCAACAACGTCACCGTCGTCACCGACAACGTCACCGACAACGTCACCAACAACGTCACCAACAACGTCACCAACAACGTCACCGTCACCGACAACGTCACCGACAACGTCACCGACAACGTCACCGTCACCAACAACGTCACCAACAACGTCACCAACAACGTTCACCAACAACGTCACCATCACCAACAACGTCACCGTCAACGTCACCGTCACCAACAACGTCACCATCACCAACAACGTCACCGTCAACGTCACCGTCACCAACAACGTCACCATCACCAACAACGTCACCGTCACCAACAACGTCACCGTCAACGTCACCGTCACCGACAACGTCACCGACAACGTTCACCAACAACGTCAACGTCACCAACAACGTCACCAACAACGTCACCAACAACGTCACCGTCACCGACAACGTCACCGACAACGTCACCAACAACGTCACCAACAACGTCACCAACAACGTCACCGTCACCGACAACGTCACCGACAACGTCACCAACAACGTCACCAACAACGTCACCGTCACCGACAACGTCACCAACAACGTCACCAACAACGTCACCGTCGTCACCGACAACGTCACCGACAACGTCACCAACAACGTCACCAACAACGTCACCAACAACGTCACCGTCACCGACAACGTCACCGACAACGTCACCGACAACGTCACCGTCACCAACAACGTCACCAACAACGTCACCAACAACGTCACCAACAACGTCACCAACAACGTCACCGTCACCAACAACGTCACCAACAACGTCACCAACAACGTCACCGTCACCAACAACGTCACCAACAACGTCAACGTCACCAACAACGTCACCAACAACGTCACCAACAACGTCACTAACAACGTCACCGACAACGTCACCGTCACCAACAACGTCACCAACAACGTCAACGTCACCAACAACGTCACCAACAACGTCACCAACAACGTCACTAACAACGTCACCAACAACGTCACCGTCACCAAAAACGTCACCAACAACGTCACCAACAACGTCACCAACAACGTCACCGACAACGTCACCGACAACGTCACCAACAACGTCACCAACAACGTCAACGTCACCAACAACGTCACCGTCGACAACGTCACCGACAACGTCACCAACAACGTCACCGTCACCAACAACGTCACCGTCACCAAAAACGTCACCAACAACGTCACCAACAACGTCACCGACAACGTCACCAACAACGTCACCGTCACCGACAACGTCACCGACAACGTCACCAACAACGTCACCGTCACCAACAACGTCACCGACAACGTCACCAACAACGTCAACGTCACCAACAACGTCACCAACAACGTCAACGTCACCAACAACGTCACCAACAACGTCAACGTCACCAACAACGTCACCGACAACGTCACCAACAACGTCACCGACAACGTCAACGTCACCAACAACGTCACCGACAACGTCACCAACAACGTCACCAACAACGTCACCGACACCAACAACGTCACCAACAACGTCACCAACAACGTCACCAACAACGTCACCGTCACCGACAACGTCACCGACAACGTCACCGACAACGTCACCGACACCAACAACGTCACCGACAACGTCACCGACAACGTCACCGACAACGTCACCGACACCAACAACGTCACCAACAACGTCACCAACAACGTCACCAACAACGTCACCGACAACGTCACCAACAACGTCACCGACAACGTCACCGACAACGTCACCAACAACGTCACCAACAACGTCACCAACAACGTCACCAACAACGTCACCAACAACGTCACCGACAACGTCACCAACAACGTCACCGACAACGTCACCGACAACGTCACCAACACCGACAACGTCACCAACAACGTCACCGACAACGTCACCGACAACGTCACCAACAACGTCACCAACAACGTCACCAACACCGACAACGTCACCAACAACGTCAACGTCACCAACAACGTCACCGACAACGTCACCAACAACGTCACCAACAACGTCACCAACACCGACAACGTCACCGTCACCAACAACGTCACCAACAACATCACCAACAACGTCACCGACAACGTCACCAACAACGTCACCAACAACGTCACCGACAACGTCACCAACAACGTCACCAACAACGTCACCGTCACCAACAACGTCACCAACAACATCACCAACAACGTCACCAACAACGTCACCGTCACCAACAACGTCACCAACAACGTCACCGTCACCAACAACGTCACCAACAACATCACCGACAACGTCACCAACAACGTCACCGTCACCGACAACGTCACCAACAACGTCACCAACAACGTCACCGTCACCGACAACGTCACCAACAACGTCACCAACAACGTCACCGTCACCAACAACGTCACCAACAACGTCACCGTCACCGACAACGTCACCAACAACGTCACCAACAACGTCACCAACAACGTCACCAACAACGTCACCAACAACGTCACCGTCACCAACAACGTCACCAACAACGTCACCAACAACGACACCAACAACGTCACCAACAACGACACCAACAACGTCACCAACAACGTCACCGACAACGTCACCGACAACGTCACCAACAACGTCACCGTCACCAACAACGTCACCAACAACGTCACCAACAACGTCACCACCACCGTCACCAACAACGTCACCACCACCGTCACCACCGTCACCGTCACCACCACCGTCACCACCACCGTCACCATTACCACCACAAGCACCGCAGCCATCACTACTGCTGCCACCACCGCCATCACCACCACAGCCACCACCACAGGCCCCACCACCACCACCACTGGTTCTTCACGTTCTGTAGATGCCACTGGTTCTTCACGTTCTGTAGATGCCACTGGTTCTTCACATTCTGTAGATGTAGATGCCACTGGTTCTTCACGTTCTGTAGATGCCACTGGTTCTTCACATTCTGTAGATGTAGATGCCACTGGTTCTTCACGTTCTGTAGATGTAGATGCCACTGGTTCTTCACGTTCTGTAGATGCCACTGGTTCTTCACATTCTGTAGATGTAGATGCCACTGGTTCTTCACGTTCTGCAGATGTAGATGCCACTGGTTCTTCACGTTCTGCAGATGTAGATGCCACTGGTTCTTCACGTTCTGTAGATGTAGATGCCACTGGTTCTTCACATTCTGTAGATGCCACTGGTTCTTCACGTTCTGTAGATGTAGATGCCACTGGTTCTTCACGTTCTGTAGATGTAGATGCCACTGGTTCTTCACATTCTGTAGATGTAGATGCCACTGGTTCTTCACGTTCTGTAGATGCCACTGGTTCTTCACATTCTGTAGATGTAGATGCCACTGGTTCTTCACGTTCTGTAGATGTAGATGCCACTGGTTCTTCACATTCTGTAGATGTAGATGCCACTGGTTCTTCACATTCTGTAGATGTAGATGCCACTGGTTCTTCACATTCTGTAGATGCCACTGGTTCTTCACATTCTGTAGATGCCACTGGTTCTTCACATTCTGTAGATGCCACTGGTTCTTCACATTCTGTAGATGTAGATGCCACTGGTTCTTCACATTCTGTAGATGTAGATGCCACTGGTTCTTCACATTCTGTAGATGTAGATGCCACTGATTCTTCACGTTCTGTAGATGTAGATACCACTGGTTCTTCACATTCTGTAGATGTAGATGCCACTGGTTCTCCACATTCTGTGGATGCCACTGGTTCTTCACATTCTGTAGATGCCACTGGTTCTTCACATTCTGTAGATGTAGATGCCACTGGTTCTTCACATTCTGTAGATGTAGATGCCACTGGTTCTCCACATTCTGTAGATGCCACTGGTTCTTCACATTCTGTAGATGCCACTGGTTCTTCACATTCTGCAGATGTAGATGCCACTGGTTTTTCACATTCTGTAGATGCCACTCGTTCTCCACATTCTGTAGATGTAGATGCCACTGGTTCTCCACATTCCGTAGATATAGATGCCACTGGTTCTTCACGTTCTGTAGATGTAGATGCCACTGGTTCTTCACGTTCTGTAGATGTAAATGCCACTGGTTCTTCACGTTCTGTAGATGTAGATGCCACTGGTTATTCACGTTCTGCAGATGTAGATGCCACTGGTTCTTCACGTTCTGTAGATGCCACTGGTTCTTCACGTTCTGTAGATGTAGATGCCACTGGTTCTTCACATTCTGTAGATGTAGATACCAATGGTTCTTCACATTCTGTAGATGCCACTGGTTCTCCACGTTCTGTAGATGCTACTGGTTCTTCACATTCTGTAGATGCCACTGGTTCTTCACATTCTGTAGATGTAGATACCACTGGTTCTTCACATTCTGTAGATGCCACTGATTCTCCACGTTCTGTAGATGTAGATGCCACTGGTTCTCCACGTTCTGTAGATGCCACTGGTTCTTCACATTCTGTAGATGTAGATGCAACTGGTTCTTCACATTCTGTAGATGTAGATGCCACTGGTTCTTCACATTCTGTAGATGTAGATGCCACTGGTTCTTCACATTCTGTAGATGCCACTGGTTCTTCACATTCTGTAGATGCCACTGGTTCTCCACGTTCTGTAGATGCCACTGGTTCTCCACGTTCTGTAGATGTAGATGCCACTGGTTCTTCACATTCTGTAGATGTAGATGCCACTGGTTCTCCACATTCTGTAGATGTAGATGCCACTGGTTCTCCACGTTCTGGAGATGTAGATGCAACTGGTTCTTCACATTCTGTAGATGTAGATTCCACTGGTTCTTCACGTTCTGTAGATGTAGATGCCACTGGTTCTTCACGTTCTGTAGATGCAGATGACACTGGTTCTTCACATTCTGTAGATGCCACTGGTTCTTCACGTTCTGTAGATGTAGATGCCACTGGTTCTTCACGTTCTGTAGATGCCACTGGTTCTTCATGTTCTGTAGATGTAGATGCCACTGGTTCTTCACGTTCTGTAGATGTAGATTCCACTGGTTCTTCACATTCTGTAGATGTAGATGCAACTGGTTCTTCACATTCTGTAGATGTAGATGCCACTGGTTCTTCACATTCTGTAGATGTAGATGCCACTGGTTCTTCACATTCTGTAGATGCCACTGGTTCTTCACGTTCTGTAGATGCCACTGGTTCTTCACGTTCTGTAGATGCCACTGGTTCTTCACATTCTGTAGATGTAGATGCCACTGGTTCTTCACATTCTGTAGAAGTAGATGCCACTGGTTCTTCACATTCTGTAGATGTAGATGCCACTGGTTCTTCACATTCTGTAGATGTAGATGCCACTGGTTCTTCACATTCTGTAGATGCCACTGGTTCTTCACGTTATGTAGATGTAGATGCCACTGGTTCTTCACATTCTGTAGATGTAGATGCCACTGGTTCTTCACATTCTGTAGATGTAGATGCCACTGGTTCTTCACATTCTGTAGATGCCACTGGTTCTTCACATTCTGTAGATGTAGATGCCACTGGTTCTTCACATTCTGTAGATGCCACTGGTTCTTCACGTTCTGCAGATGTAGATACCACTGGTTCTTCAGGTTCTGCAGATGCAGATGACACTGGTTCTTCACATTCTGTAGATGCCACTGGTTCTTCACGTTCTGCAGATGTAGATGCCACTGGTTCTTCACATTCTGTAGATGTAGATGCCACTGATTCTTCACATTCTGTAGATGCCACTGGTTCTTCACGTTCTGTAGATGTAGATGCCACTGGTTCTTCACGTTCTGCAGATGTAGTGCCACTGGTTCTTCACATTATGTAGATGCCACTGGTTCTTCACATTCTGTAGATGTAGATGCCACTGGTTCTTCACATTCTGTAGATGTAGATGCCACTGGTTATTCACATTCTGTAGATGCCACTGGTTCTTCACATTCTGTAGATGCCACTGGTTCTCCACGTTCTGTAGATGCCACTGGTTCTCCACGTTCTGTAGATGTAGATGCCACTGGTTCTTCACATTCTGTAGATGTAGATGCCACTGGTTCTCCACATTCTGTAGATGTAGATGCCACTGGTTCTCCACGTTCTGGAGATGTAGATGCAACTGGTTCTTCACATTCTGTAGATGTAGATGCCACTGGTTCTTCACGTTCTGTAGATGTAGATGCCACTGGTTCTTCACATTCTGTAGATGCAGATGACACTGGTTCTTCACATTCTGTAGATGCCACTGGTTCTTCACGTTCTGTAGATGTAGATGCCACTGGTTCTTCACGTTCTGTAGATGCCACTGGTTCTTTACGTTCTGTAGATGTAGATGCCACTGGTTCGTTACATTCTGTAGACGCAGATTCCACTGGTTCTTCACATTCTGTAGACGCAGATGCCACTGGTTCTTCACATTCTGTAGACGCAGATGCAACTGGTTTTTCACGTTCTGTAGATGCCACTGGTTCTTCACATTCTGTAGATGTAGATGCCACTGGTTCTTCACATTCTGTAGAAGTAGATGCCACTGGTTCTTCACATTCTGTAGATGTAGATGCCACTGGTTCTTCACATTCTGTAGATGTAGATGCCACTGGTTCTTCACATTCTGTAGATGCCACTGGTTCTTCACGTTCTGTAGATGTAGATGCCACTGGTTCTTCACATTCTGTAGATGTAGATGCCACTGGTTCTTCACATTCTGTAGATGTAGATGCCACTGGTTCTTCACATTCTGTAGATGCCACTGGTTCTTCACATTCTGTAGATGTAGATGCCACTGGTTCTTCACATTCTGTAGATGCCACTGGTTCTTCACGTTCTGCAGATGTAGATACCACTGGTTCTTCACGTTCTGCAGATGCAGATGACACTGGTTCTTCACATTCTGTAGATGCCACTGGTTCTTCACGTTCTGCAGATGTAGATGCCACTGGTTCTTCACATTCTGTAGATGTAGATGCCACTGATTCTTCACATTCTGTAGATGCCACTGGTTCTTCACGTTCTGTAGATGTAGATGCCACTGGTTCTTCACGTTCTGCAGATGTAGATGCCACTGGTTCTTCACGTTCTGCAGATGTAGATGCCACTGGTTCTTCACGTTCTGTAGATGTAGATGCCACTGGTTCTTCACGTTCTGTAGATGCCACTGGTTCTTCACATTCTGTAGATGTAGATGCCACTGGTTCTTCACGTTGTGTAGATGTAGATGCCACTGGTTCTTCACATTCTGTAGATGTAGATGCCACTGGTTCTCCACATTCTGTAGATGTAGATGCCACTGGTTCTTCACGTTCTGCAGATGTAGATGCGACTGGTTCTTCACGTTCTGCAGATGTAGATACCACTGGTTCTTCACGTTCTGCAGATGTAGATGCCACTGGTTCTTCACATTCTGTAGATGTAGATGCTACTGGTTCTTCAGATTCTGTATATGTAGATGCCACTGGTTCTTCACATTCTGTAGATGCCACTGATTCTTCACATTCTGTAGATGCCACTGGTTCTTCACGTTCTGGAGATGTAGATGCCACTGGTTCTTCACATTCTGTAGATGTAGATGCCACCAGTTCTTCACGTTCTGCAGATGTAGATGCCACTGGTTCTTCACGTTCTGCAGATGTAGATACCACTGGTTCTTCACGTTCTGCAGATGTAGATGCCACTGGTTCTTCACGTTCTGTAGATACCACTGGTTCTTCACGTTCTGCAGATGCCACTGGTTCTTCACGTTCTGTAGATACCACTGGTTCTTCACGTTCTGCAGATGTAGACGCCACTGGTTCTTCACGTTCTGTAGATGCCACTGGTTCTTCACGTTCTGTAGATGTAGATGCCACTGGTTCTTCACGTTCTGTAGATGTAGATGCCACTGGTTCTTCACGCTCTGCAGATGTAGATGCCACTGGTTCTTCACGTTCTGCAGATGTAGATGCCACTGGTTCTTCACGTTCTGTAGATGTAGATGCCACTGGTTCTTCACATTCTGTAGATGTAGATGCCACTGGTTCTTCACGTTCTGTAGATGCCACTGGTTCTTCACGTTCTGCAGATGTAGATGCCACTGGTTCTTCACATTCTGTAGATGCCACTGGTTCTTCACGTTCTGTAGATGTAGATGCCACTGGTTCTTCACGTTCTGTAGATGTAGATGCCACTGGTTCTTCACATTCTGTAGATGCGACTGGTTCTTCACGTTCTGCAGATGTAGATGCCACTGGTTCTTCACGTTCTGCAGATGTAGATGCCACTGGTTCTTCACGTTCTACATATGTAGATGCCACTGGTTCTTCACGTTCTGTAGATGTAGATGCCACTGGTTCTTCACATTCTGTAGATGCCACTGGTTCTTCACGTTCTGTAGATGTAGATGCCACTGGTTCTTCACGTTCTGCAGATGTAGATGCCACTGGTTCTTCACGTTCTACATATGTAGATGCCACTGGTTCTTCACGTTCTGTAGATGTAGATGCCACTGGTTCTTCACATTCTGTAGATGCCACTGGTTCTTCACGTTCTGCAGATGTAGATGCCACTGGTTCTTCACGTTCTGCAGATGTAGATGCCATCACCGCCATCCACTGAACTTACGACTCTGGGTCTGGACAGCTGTCACTGAACGTACGGGAGAGCTTTTTTTCCTACCTCAGAAAGTTCTGAGGCCATCAACGTCCCAGAGTCGGGGTCCGGGAATGCAGCAGCAGCAGCATCAGCAGCATCATCAGAGCCAATCGCCTGAGTTGGGTTACCTGGTAGAGATGGGAGGGCGGTTGTTGTTGGGTGGTGCCGGTGGTTGTGGCTGAGGCGGTGGTGGCGGTGGTGGTGGTCGTCGTCACCGGGCACAAGCGGAGACCTTGGGCGCTCACGGTGAGGATCATTCGTGTGCCGATGGTGCCTGTGTGTGGACCGCCGAGGAGGAGACGGAGTGGAGTGGAGGGCGTGAGGGAGGGTGGGAGGGAGGGTGGGAGGGAGGGTTATTGTGGTGGTGACTGACGGTGGTGGCTGTGGTGGTGGTGCACAAAAGTTCTGCCAATCCCCACTCTGGCACCACCACCACCACAGAGTGAGTTGCAGGTCACTCACCACCACCACCATAGAGTGAGTTGCAGGTCACTCACTACCACTTACCACCAGCACAGAGAGAGGTGCAGGTCACTCACTACCACCACCACCACTACCACCACCACCACTACTACCACCACCACCACCACCCCCACTACCACCACCACCACTACCACCACCACCACCCCCACTACCACCACCACCACCACCCCCACTACCACCACCCCTACTACCACCACCACCACTACCACCACTACCACCACCACCCCCACCACCACCACCACCACCACTCACTACCACTACCACCACTACCACCACCACTACCACCACTACCACCACCACCACTACCACCACTACCCCCACCACCCCCACTACCACCACTACCACCACTACCACCACCACCACTACCACCACCACCCCCACCACTACCACCACTACCCCCACTACCACCACTACCACCACTACCACCACTACCACCACCCCCACTACCACCACCACCCCCACCACCACCACCACCCCCACTACCACCACCACCACCACCACCCCCACCACCACCCCCACTACCACCACCACCACCACCCCCACCACTACCACCACCACCACCACCCCCACCACCACCCCCACTACCACCACCACCACCACCACCCCCACCACCACCACCACCACCACCACCACTACCACCACCACTACCACCACCACCACTACCACCAATACCCCCACCACCCCCACTACCACCACCACCACCACCCCCACTACCACCACCCCCACTACCACCACCACCACCATCACCACCACTACCACCACCACTACCACCACCACTACCACCACCACCACCCCCACCACCACTACCACCACCACTACCCCCACCACCACCACCCCCACCCCCACCACCACCACCCCCACCACCACCCCCACCACCCCCACCCCCACCCCCCCCACCGCACCGTGCTGGCTACGTGTCCACACGCGTGCCACGGCATGCGATGTCGCCGGGATGCCCTTGGCGGCGTAGGTGGGGGCGCTGCCCAGGTAAGCCACGGGGAAGCACGGCTCCTCACCCGTGATCTCAAAGACTTGTCTCCTCCTCGTGAACATCGTCCCCTGAGCCCTGAGGCACAGCAAGAGGCTACCCAGTAGTAGTGTATAGTGTAGTAGTGTATAGTGTAGTAGTGTATAGTGTAGTAGTGTATAGTGTAGTAGTGTATAGTGTAGTGTATCTCAAAGACTTGTCTCCTCCTCGTGAACATCGTCCCCTGAGCCCTGAGGCACAGCAAGAGGCTACCCAGTAGTAGTGTATAGTGTAGTGTATAGTGTAGTGTATAGTGTAGTGTATAGTGTAGTGTATCTCAAAGACTTGTCTCCTCCTCGTGAACATCTTCCCCTGAGCCCTGAGGGGAGGTGAGGCACAGCAAGAGGCTCGGCTTCAGACGCGCTACCCAGACCCACAGAGACACCCAGTAGTAGTGTATAGTGTAGTAGTGTATAGTGTAGTAGTGTAGTGTATAGTGTAGTAGTGTATAGTGTAGTGTATCTCAAAGACTTGTCTCCTCCTCGCGAACATCTTCCCCTGAGGGGGAGGCACAGCAAGAGGCTACCCAGTAGTAGTGTATAGTGTAGTAGTGTATAGTGTAGTAGTGTATAGTGTAGTGTATAGTGTAGTGTATAGTGTAGTAGCGTAGTGTATAGTGTAGTGTATCTCAAAGACTTGTCTCCTCCTCGCGAACATCTTCCCCTGAAGGCGAGGCACAGCAAGAGGCTACCCAGTAGTAGTGTATAGTGTAGTAGTGTATAGTGTAGTGTATAGTGTAGTAGTGTATAGTGTATAGTGTAGTGTATAGTGTAGTGTATCTCAAAGACTTGTCTCCTCCTCGTGAACATCTTCCCCTGAGCCCTGAGGGGAGGTGAGGCACAGCAAGAGGCTACCCAGTAGTAGTGTATAGTGTAGTAGTGTATAGTGTAGTGTATAGTGTAGTGTATAGTGTAGTGTATAGTGTAGTGTATAGTAGTGTATAGTGTAGTAGTGTATAGTGTAGTGTATAGTGTAGTAGTGTATAGTGTAGTAGTGTATAGTGTAGTGTATCTCAAAGACTTGTCTCCTCCTCGCGAACATCTTCCCCTGAGGGGAGGCACAGCAAGAGGCTACCCAGTAGTAGTGTATAGTGTAGTAGTGTATAGTGTAGTAGTGTAGTGTATAGTGTAGTGTATAGTAGTGTATAGTGTAGTGTATCTCAAAGACTTGTCTCCTCCTCGCGAACATCTTCCCCTGAAGGCGAGGCACAGCAAGAGGCTACCCAGACCCACAGAGACACCCAGTAGTAGTGTATAGTGTAGTAGTGTATAGTGTAGTGTATAGTGTAGTAGTGTATAGTGTAGTAGTGTATAGTGTAGTGTATCTCAAAGACTTGTCTCCTCCTCGTGAACATCGTCCCCTGAGCCCTGAGGGGAGGCACAGCAAGAGGCTACCCAGTAGTAGTGTATAGTGTAGTAGTGTATAGTGTAGTGTATAGTGTAGTAGTGTATAGTGTAGTAGTGTATAGTGTAGTGTATAGTGTAGTGTATAGTGTAGTAGTGTATAGTGTAGTGTATAGTGTAGTGTATAGTGTAGTAGTGTATAGTGTAGTGTATAGTGTAGTGTATAGTGTATAGTGTAGTGTATAGTGTAGTGTATCTCAAAGACTTGTCTCCTCCTCGCGAACATCTTCCCCTGAAGGCGAGGCACAGCAAGAGGCTACCCAGTAGTAGTGTGTAGTGTATAGTGTAGTGTATAGTGTATAGTGTAGTGTATAGTGTAGTGTAGTGTATAGTGTAGTGTATCTCAAAGACTTGTCTCCTCCTCGCGAACATCTTCCCCTGAAGGGGAGGCGAGGCACAGCAAGAGGCTCCCCAGACCCACAGAGACACCCAGTAGTAGTGTAGTAGTGTAGTAGTGTATAGTGTAGTGTATAGTAGTATATAGTGTAGTAGTGTATAGTGTAGTGTATAGTGTAGTGTATAGTGTAGTGTATCTCAAAGACTTGTCTCCTCCTCGCGAACATCTTCCCCTGAGGGGGAGGCACAGCAAGAGGCTACTCAGTAGTAGTGTATAGTGTAGTGTATAGTGTAGTGTATAGTGTAGTAGTGTATAGTGTAGTAGTGTAGTGTATAGTGTAGTAGTGTATAGTGTAGTGTATAGTGTAGTGTATAGTGTAGTAGTGTATAGTGTAGTAGTGTAGTGTATAGTGTAGTAGTGTATAGTGTAGTAGTGTATAGTGTAGTGTATAGTGTAGTGTATAGTGTAGTAGTGTATAGTGTAGTGTATAGTGTAGTAGTGTAGTGTATAGTGTAGTGTATAGTGTAGTAGTGTAGTGTATAGTGTAGTGTATAGTGTAGTAGTGTAGTGTATAGTGTAGTAGTGTAGTGTATAGTGTAGTAGTGTATAGTGTAGTAGTGTATAGTGTAGTAGTGTAGTGTATAGTGTAGTAGTGTATAGTGTAGTGTATAGTGTAGTAGTGTATAGTGTATAGTGTAGTAGTGTATAGTGTAGTAGTGTATAGTGTAGTAGTGTATAGTGTAGTGTATAGTGTAGTAGTGTATAGTGTAGTGTATAGTGTAGTAGTGTATAGTGGTGTATAGTGTATAGTGTAGTAGTGTATAGTGTAGTGTAGTAGTGTATAGTGTAGTGTATAGTGTAGTAGTGTATAGTGTAGTGTATAGTGTAGTAGTGTATAGTGTAGTAGTGTATAGTGTAGTAGTGTATAGTGTAGTAGTGTATAGTGTAGTGTATAGTGTAGTAGTGTATAGTGGTGTATAGTGTATAGTGTAGTAGTGTATAGTGTAGTAGTGTATAGTGTAGTAGTGTATAGTGTAGTGTATAGTGTAGTAGTGTATAGTGTAGTGTATAGTGTAGTAGTGTATAGTGGTGTATAGTGTAGTAGTGTATAGTGTAGTAGTGTATAGTGTAGTAGTGTATAGTGTAGTAGTGTATAGTGTAGTAGTGTATAGTGTAGTAGTGTATAGTGTAGTAGTGTATAGTGTAGTAGTGTATAGTGTAGTAGTGTATAGTGTAGTAGTGTATAGTGTAGTAGTGTATAGTGTAGTAGTGTATAGTGTAGTAGTGTATAGTAGTGTATACTAGTGTATAGTGTAGTAGTGTATAGTGTAGTAGTGTACAGTGTAGTGTATAGTGTAGTGTATAGTGTAGTAGTGTACAGTGTAGTGTATAGTGTAGTAGTGTATAGTGTAGTAGTGTACAGTGTAGTGTATAGTGTAGTAGTGTATAGTGTAGTAGTGTATAGTGTAGTGTATAGTGTAGTAGTGTATAGTGTAGTAGTGTACAGTGTAGTGTATAGTGTAGTAGTGTATAGTGTAGTAGTGTATAGTGTAGTGTATAGTGTAGTAGTGTATAGTGTAGTAGTGTATAGTGTAGTGTATAGTGTAGTAGTGTATAGTGTAGTAGTGTATAGTGTAGTGTATAGTGTAGTGTACAGTGTAGTGTATAGTGTAGTGTATAGTGTAGTAGTGTAGTGTATAGTGTAGTAGTGTATAGTGTAGTGTATAGTGTAGTGTATAGTGTATAGTAGTGTATAGTGTAGTAGTGTATAGTGTAGTAGTGTATAGTGTAGTAGTGTATAGTGTAGTAGTGTATAGTGTAGTAGTGTATAGTGTAGTGTATAGTGTAGTAGTGTATAGTGTAGTAGTGTATAGTGTAGTAGTGTATAGTGTAGTAGTGTATAGTGTAGTAGTGTATAGTAGTGTATACTAGTGTATAGTGTAGTAGTGTATAGTGTAGTAGTGTACAGTGTAGTGTATAGTGTAGTGTATAGTGTAGTAGTGTACAGTGTAGTGTATAGTGTAGTAGTGTATAGTGTAGTAGTGTACAGTGTAGTGTATAGTGTAGTGTATAGTGTAGTAGTGTATAGTGTAGTAGTGTACAGTGTAGTGTATAGTGTAGTGTATAGTGTAGTAGTGTACAGTGTAGTGTATAGTGTAGTAGTGTATAGTGTAGTAGTGTATAGTGTAGTGTATAGTGTAGTGTATAGTGTAGTGTATAGTGTAGTGTATCTCAAAGACTTTTCTCCTCCTCGCGAACATCTTCCCCTGAAGGGAGGCGAGGCACAGCAAGAGGCTACTCAGTAGTAGTGTATAGTGTAGTGTATAGTGTAGTGTATAGTGTAGTGTATAGTGTAGTGTATAGTGTAGTGTATAGTGTAGTGTATAGTGTAGTAGTGTATAGTGTAGTAGTGTATAGTGTAGTAGTGTATAGTAGTGTATAGTGTAGTAGTGTAGTGTATAGTGTAGTAGTGTATAGTGTATAGTGTAGTAGTGTATAGTGTATAGTAGTGTATAGTGTAGTGTATAGTGTAGTAGTGTATAGTGTAGTGTATAGTGTAGTAGTGTATAGTGTAGTGTATAGTGTAGTGTATAGTGTAGTGTATAGTGTAGTGTATAGTGTAGTGTATAGTGTAGTGTATAGTGTAGTGTATAGTGTAGTGTATAGTGTAGTAGTGTATAGTGTAGTAGTGTATAGTGTAGTAGTGTATAGTAGTGTATAGTGTAGTAGTGTAGTGTATAGTGTAGTAGTGTATAGTATAGTGTATAGTGTAGTAGTGTATAGTGTATAGTAGTGTATAGTGTAGTGTATAGTGTAGTGTATAGTGTAGTGTATAGTGTAGTGTATAGTGTAGTGTATAGTGTAGTGTATAGTGTAGTGTATAGTGTAGTGTATAGTGTAGTGTATAGTGTAGTAGTGCATAGTGTAGTGTATAGTGTAGTGTATAGTGTAGTGTATAGTAGTGTATAGTGTAGTAGTAGTGTGTAGTAGTGTATAGTGTAGTGGTGTACAGTGTAGTAGTGTATAGTGTAGTAGTGTATAGTGTAGTGTATAGTAGTGTATAGTGTAGTAGTGTATAGTGTAGTAGTGTATAGTGTAGTAGTGTATAGTGTATAGTAGTGTATAGTGTAGTAGTGTATAGTGTATAGTAGTGTATAGTGTAGTAGTGTATAGTAGTGTAGTAGTGTATAGTGTAGTAGTGTATAGTGTAGTAGTGTATAGTGTAGTAGTGTATAGTGTAGTAGTGTACAGTGTAGTGTATAGTGTAGTAGTGTATAGTGTAGTGTATAGTGTAGTAGTGTATAGTGTAGTAGTGTATAGTGTAGTGTATAGTGTAGTAGTGTAGTGTATAGTGTAGTGTATCTCAAAGACTTGTCTCCTCCTCGCGAACATCTTCCCCTGAAGGGGAGGCACAGCAAGAGGCTACCCAGTAGTAGTGTATAGTGTAGTAGTGTATAGTGGTGTATAGTGTATAGTGTAGTGTATAGTGTAGTGTATAGTGTAGTAGTGTATAGTGTAGTGTATAGTGTAGTGTATAGTGTATAGTAGTGTAGTAGTGTATAGTGTAGTGT